TTCTTGGGAAACAAGAATGGAGTTTTGAACAAAAGGGGATGGTCAAGATTCAAAAGATAGTCATGACCCCATATGTGTTCGGTTTTTCCGTGAATATTCACTATTTTAAAATAAGAATTGAAATTATTTGTGTAAGAAAATAAAAATAAATAAATATTATAATTCTGCTATTATATTTTTCTTCGAGTGGATGTGAATTCCATTTGTAGTAGTTTTCCACTTATAAGATGGATTTTTCTTTTTCTAAAAAAAAAAACAAAAAAGATGGAACCATTGAAGATTTCAATGAAGCTAAAAGACCTAGTCCCCCAAGAGCCACCATCAAAGACCCTAACATCTGGAGGTAACGCTCGACCAATCTCTGATATTCTTCCACCAGAATTGAAGGAGAATGGACAATTCCGGTTTCCTTGGGCAGCTAAGATGGACCCAAAAATGAGAAATCTGCATCGCACTACTTCACCGACTTACATGGAGAATGATACACCTATAGTTGAGATTCCAAACCATGTTTTGATGCAGGAAGTTGAGAATCAGAAAGAATATGTAATTGGGCAGTTCTACCGTTGTTCTCTGCCTTATGGAGGTCTCATACACGCAGTAGCTAACCGAATTTGGGGTAAGAAATGTAAGATTTTCACTCGCAAATTAGGTGAATCCTCATATATGTTTCATATTCCGGATAAGGGTACTAGAGGTTGGGTTCTTCAGAGAGGGCTATGGCATTTTGATGATTGCATTGTATTTGTTGCTCCTTGGACTCCTAGTGCTTCTTTAGCTTTGCCAGAGATAACTACGGTTCCAGTATGGGTCACTCTAAGAAACATACCAGCTTGTCTTCACTCGGAATGGGGAATTAGTTGGATAGCTTCAGGTTTAGGGGAACCAATGCTTACCCACAAACCAAGATTAGACCCGAATCTAATAGGTGAGGCTAAGCTAATGGTGGAAGTAGAACTAGACAAGGCTTTTCCCCAGAGGATTGCAGCTGCAGACTTACAAGGCAACGTCTCAATGGTAGAAGTTTTGTACTCTTGGATGCCATCCAAATGTCAAAGATGTGGACAATTATGACACAAAGAATCGAGGTGTCTCCTTCTGAGTCAACATAATGGAATTGTGAGTGCAACAACAAAAGCTACTTCTATTGGCTCTCATGATCATGCTGCTCGTGACCCTAATGTTATTGCTTCTCCAGCCCCTGTTCTTGCGTTTTCAGCCCATGTTCTGGCTACTCCAGCCCATGTTCTTGCGTTTTCAGCCCCTGTTCTGGTTTCTCCAGCCCCTGTTTATGGCTCTGATGTTGCCCCTCAAGTTGCTACTATGGGTAAAGTCCATACCGCTCTCACTGAAGTTGAACCTTCAACCCCAATTGCCATCAACTTAATTGATTTGTCGTCCTCAACTGCGTTAGAAAACGCGAACTCTTCCCAAGAAACATTAGCCTTGACCAAGGCTATCCCAACTGAACTTGCATCCACCATCAATGTTGCATGTAGTTCTTCTCCCTTCGCCACAACCACTACATCAACAATTGGTACTCCTTCTAATCTGGTAACTCTCTCAAACCTTTCTATAGGTTCATTGGCTAATGAAGTTGTACAAGGGACTGTCTTTGGTAGCAATCTCTTGGCTGCCTTAGATGTGGGAGATTATTCAGGTTATGAGATGGGGGTTGCTTCTCAAAAGGCTAGAGGCGGTAGGTCGATCAAACCTACGCAAAAATTTCAAGAGATGCAATGGACCACGGTAAGAGGACGAGGTAAAAGGGTTTTAATGAGCTTCTCAATCTCTCTTAAGAGCCTACTTTGTGGTTCTCTTTATGTTTTTCATAAAAGACTCTCGCAAACTAATAAAACAATTTGTTTTATTAGTTGATTGATTTTTATTAAATATTTTTTTTTTCTGAGAAAAGGCATTCTATTAAGATTTTTATTAAATACAGTAGTTGATTACATTAGTAAGTCGGATTTTGATATACAAGAGACCGATTACAAGCATTAAAGCTGTATAATAATACGTTCAACCATAGTTGAGCCGAAACATCTCATTATGGACGAAGAAACTTCCTTGTAGAACAGGAATCAAGTGAAAGATCTGCAGTTAATAAATACTAACTTCGGTAAGCTAAAAAAACAAAATATCTACACATGCACATTATCTACATTAGTCTTTTTTTAATAGTCATCTACCTTAGTTTCGTTCAAATAAGTAACAAGATTTAAAATTGAGGATTATTATAACTTCCAACTGGTGCCGAGATTAACCGATGCAAATTACTGTCTCTTCTTTATTAGCACAAGTAAAAAAAACCTTGAAAATTAGCATTTGTTTTATGCAATTTAAGCCTTTTTTCATTTCCAACAAAATGAAATTTCTCATCGATCATAAGTAGAGTCAGAGAAGAGTTAGACCTGGCTAAACCTAAGAGGATGATCTTCGCCGTGTAATTGAAGGCTTCCGCTCACAAAAACTAGGATTCCGCCACAACCACCAGCCATTGAAGACGGCTGAGAATCGACGGTGCTGATCAAATGACGACATTGATCGAACGGAAGTTGTTTAAGCTTGTTGGAGATATTTTCCACGCCACAGATCTTTTGGCCTTCGAAAGTGAGCAACGAAGTGGGATTGTAGAGAGTGGAAAGAGAAAATCGATCATTATCAAAGAGATGGTAGTAATGATTCACAAAGGCCCTTGCAACTTCTTCTTCAATTCCTTTATTTGTGTCTGTCATTGTCGAAATTTCCGACATAAAACTGATATGTTAGCAAAAACCAATAAAGGAATATAAACATGCATGATCTATCTTAAGGGAGGAAAAAAGATGCTTAATTTGCAAGTAGAAAAAGGATAAAGAGAGAATCTTTTTAACACTTGTAAAGAAATTCCTTATAGGTCAAGTATTGCATAAATCTTTTCACATCAGGAAGTAATGTTTCTTTGATTAAGTACTATTCTCAATGAATGCAGAAGCAAGACCATAGGCATATATAAAGTCCTAGAGCAATTATTCATTCCTCTAACTCGATCATCTAAATTTTAGTAAATGGATTCTAAGATGGTAGATCACAAACTTCTAATGATTCCTTAATCCATAAAAATGGCTTATATGTTCTCACTCCTACTCTGTTCCAAGTATTGAAAGCAAAACACTACATGTCAAAACAAGATTCCTCAGTTCTATAAACTTGAGAACTAAATCACAATTACCTTAACATCAAGATCCAATCACTGCCATCTTGATGGCCAATAAGGGTAAATCTCATAATCATTCTTCCAATTATCCAAGTAAACAACTTTCTTCACAGCCCAAAACGATATAAACAGAGCCAAAACCATAAACATCCTTTGCTCATTGAGGTTCTTAACTCTTACAAGCCCATTGGTAACAAAAGCCAAAAGCAATCCAACCACAGTGTACAAGAACCCAATAGCAAATCCCTCAGCTCCAAGCTGATAATCTGGACCTTCGTAGAACAAAACAACTTTACTCTCATCTTCATGATCTCTCACAAACATAGGCACTTCCCTGATAATGTTATGCATCGTCCCCGCGACGCTAAAGAAGTAAACGAAAACGGCGCCGGATAACCAAACTCTCCGATCATGGAGAAGCGTTTCTCCTTTAAGAATCTTACTGATGAGTATCGGAGTCGAGATTATAATCAAAGCTACGATTACACAGATCTGCGTCTTCGTTAGAAACGGTGGTCGATGGATTGGACCAACGGTTAGTTTTGTTCGACGCTCGACGAATTCCACCATGGATTCAGCTAATCCAGCGAAATCTTCACCTTGCATCTGACTCGATTCGTCGTCTAGATTCTCCATCCAAGGGTCGATTAAGGAAATCCGAGGTAATGATTTGACGGCGAATCGACGGAACGAAGATTCGGAGTCTTCGGAAACGATCTCGCAGAAGAAAAGCTTTGTTCCGTTAGATCCA